GGATCCTAATTGTTTTGCCCAAAAATCAAAAAAAATCATTTGTAAGCCCAGCCTCTCTAATATCAAGCCTCTTTAGCCCAAAAAGCAAAAGGTACTTTGCTTACCCACTGCCCACACTCCTATTCTCCTCACATTGCGAATGTAATTATTGAAAAGGCGAACATCATAAGAGTTATCGTCGTCGGCAAAGTACAGCACACCATTTTGTTTTCGATCGTAATTTTCTCTCACATATCGCAATGCCAGATTTCGATGCGTCCATCCTCTACCTGAAATTCGGGCATAGTCTGCTGAACATTAGTTTAGGGGTAACTTGACAAATATATTTCCTTTTGCTGATTTACAACAGCTCAGAGCTAACCTTAACCAAAGATTGAATCGCTCTCAAGCTGATGTTCGGTAGTTAAATGAACTGATACGAATTTCAACGAGTCAGAACTATATAGATCTTTGAAGGCTAACATGATAGCTGATATGAGGCAACGATTAATGCACAAAACAATGAATGCAATGAAGCGATGGAAAAACAAATAGATTTCAAGAGAAGGAAATTGTTTAGGAAATGTTTTAAAAGAGAATATCTAATGTTGCAAATGAGAAAGCAAGTTTTTTAATGAGAGATTGTATGGTTATGATTTGCCGCATTTTCCTCGGAATTTTTCATATATTCGACTTTGTTTTGTTTGAGCTTCTCGAATACTTGGTTTGTTCATCTTTTTAATGTATGATAATAACGAAAGTGAGAAGGCAGTGAAGAGCGCCCGTCCCTTGGCATTGCTTTCTTATGCAGCTATGGCGATAGGATGGGTTTGAGAATTCCCCGTAAATTTGTTCAAATTCAATGACTCTACTAGACTTCTCATGCTTCTGATCTCCTTAACTACAACTTTCAGGAAATGAAGTTAAAATTTGAAATTTCACTCCTCAAACCAATCTGTAAGGAAATAAAATTGTTTTATTTTCGCTCTTATCTTTGCATTCAAACGAAATTGTAATGGTCTTCACAATGTTAAAAACTATTAAAATTCCTACGCTGCCCTAATATACCAAAGTGAAGGTCACTGGAAAAGAGACCAGACATTTACCTTGAAAACAAATTGTGGCGCAGTGCTCCTGGCTTTTCTTCCCATTAAAGAGGTAATTCCGGTAACCAATTTTTCCTTTTCTCCCTGCTCTGCATATTTAATTAACTTTACCGAGGCGTCTTTTTACCAAAAAATACGCTATCAGGTCACTCTATGCAAGATTGCCTTGAACTTGGTAAATATGC